TCCACTGCCCCGCTGCAAAACAACCCGTTGGTGGAGTTCAGGGGCTCCCTGAACCCAAAGCCGCGAGCCCGGCCCCTCGCGCCGTGGCCCTGCCCGCCACGCTCGCGCCCCTCCGCACCCGGGCGAAGGGGCCCAGGGAGGGACTCCAGGACTAAGGCGGGACCGCGGGCGGGGACGCAGGGCCGGGGGTCGCAGGAAGGCTGCCAGCGCCCGGACCCAGATACCCGCCCCAAATCCCGCCTGGTCCCGGCGCCGCCCGGGCCGACTCGCCTCTTTGCGGGTCTCCAGGCTGGCCCTGAGCCCCGGTGCTCATTATTTTCGTTTGAACAAGATCCTCCGTGAGCCCGCGGCCTCTAAACCGTTGTATCATGTGGGTCCTCCAGGTTGCCGTGTGGGTCTCAAGGTAAAGGCCCGGAGGGCAGAGGGGTGACGATGACCCCAAGGGACTCCGTTGCTCCAGCTCTTCGGGCCTGTGACTGCGCCAGCCACGTGCAGCGCGGGCGACGCCGCTGTTCACGCAGTTCCAGGAGTGCGGCCGCCCCGAGCCCAGCGCCTCGCAACCTTGCCCGGGCTCGGGGCGCCGCGGGGCGCGTTCTCCGACTCGGAGAATTCGTGTGAGCCGACTGGCCTCACCCTGACCTGCCCTTCGTAGGACAACACGGAAAACCGCGGGTGCAGGGTTTGCGAGTCGGACCCCGCAGGTGCGAGGGGCGGGTGGGGAGGCACCGGAGCCTCAGCGCAGCCCCGTCGGGCACCACCTGCCCGCTTTCAACGAAACGCGTCGCCCAGGCCCAGAGAACTCGGGGACTGTCTGGGGATCGCGTCCGGCCCATCCCGGCTGGGGCGCTCGGAGCTGGGAGAGGGCGGAGAGCCTCCGCCCAGGCCGGGGCATCCCAGAGCCCGAGGTGCGGAGCTGCATGGACCGCCCGAGGCGGGCGGCGCCAGGGCCGGAGTCTGCCTAGGGGATTTCTGCTGCCTTTATAGGCTGGAAAAATAAAGATAAAAAGCAAACCAAAAAAAAAAAAAAACAAACTCTGGTTCCCTGACTTGGCACCGGGCACCCGCCCCCTTCTCTTTTTCCCTCTGTCACAAACAAGGTTTCTGGTTTGCCCAGAACAAAGGCCTTCCCATCCGCTGGCCTTGGAAATAGCCAGAGAGCAGCTCCTTCTTCCTAGATTACCCTATTCTTTCCGAAACAGCCCCATCCCAAAACCAGGGAAGCCCTCGGGAGGCCAGTGGGCTGCCTTCTCCCTTTTCCCAGAAATGCCCCCGGTGGGCGCGGTGTGCCAGCCCTGGGCTGCTCAATGGGCGCCGGACAGTAGGTGCCTTCGGACTTTGTCCTGGGAGCTTCCTGCCCAACTCCAGGCACAAAGACCCCAAACTGTCCCTGACAATTTATCTGAGAAAAGCTATTCCATCAGCCTGAGATCACTGGGGAGCACCCACCCACCCCTGCTGCTGCTGCTTTCCAGAAACTCTCATCCTCCCAGGGACTTCAGGGAAGCTTGGAGGTGAAAGGAGGCGTTTCAGTAAAGCCCAAATTTCCGTGGTTCCGAAAAGGTTTCTCCCCCTAGCCATGGAGTTTTTCCCGTTTGTGCTGGATAAAAAGCAAGTGCAAGCCTCTTGGGAATGGGTCTTGGAACAGGAAGGAGGACAGGGATTCCGGAGATTGGAGTGAGGTAGACCGTAGGCCTCTCAGCAACTGCTTTGGGCACTGCAACTAGAGGGCTGAGATTGTCATTGGCTATTAAATCCTCATCCAGACACCTCCCAAGTACTCCGTTCTGTGGCAAAGACTACTGGGGAACGGGCCAGGCAGGGAAGGGGCTGGGGAGTGTGGGGAGACCCTCATTCAGCATGTAACCTTTTTAGGGCAGGCACTCATCTACTGCTGCTACTAAGAGGTTCTGGCCCACACCTGCTGGAACCGGTTTTTTACATACATGGGGGAGGAGGAGAACCAGGGGCATATTGACACACACCCATACATCAGGTAATGGTGCTCCAGGTTTTCAGTGCTTTCTCGGTAACGACTTTTCATATGGCACACACTATGTTATCCACGGTGGCAGGCCCCATGTCTGTTCTGTTCTCCCTGTGCTGCTGAGCGTTGCCTGGAGGCTCTTGGCAGGGCTGACTCGGGCTTAGGGCCCAGAGGCTGCAAAGAGGGCAGCACTTGGAGGAACAGTGAGTCTGAAGCTCCAGAAAAATCTGCTTTCACTGAACATGGGCGGGACCGAGTCCTGGGGGAAGTTTAATCTTAAAGCTCCATGGGTCGGAGGAGTGGCACATTCATGGTGAAGGCTGTGGCTGAGGTTGCAGAGATTGTACGCTTTTTCAAGGTTACTGTTCTTAGACCCACCCCAGCCCAGAACCAGCAGGAACTTAAGAGGTTACCCAGGCTTCAATCTAATACTGGAAGAGAATGAAGAACAGTGGACCGGGGACTGGTCCAGGGTCTCAAACCAGGAAGTGACTGCCTGGTCTCACTCACCCACACCAGGCCAGGATGCTCCTCTACAATCCCAGCCTAAGCATGCTAAGATGTAAGATGGCCATTGCCAGGGCTGGGCCCAGTCAGTCAGCTGAATCCTTTTAACCAAGTAGCTGAAGAAGAGGAGCTGAAAAGAGTAAGTTGCACTTTTGTTGGAGGTCAGCAAAGTGGGCTTTGAACCTCATCACAGTCTGGGGTAAATTCTTCTCCATGTCTCCCAGGGTCCTTAGATCCAATTCTGGGGCAGCCCCTGTGCGGCAGTGCACAGGACTCTGGATAGGGTGTCCTGGACACAGCAGACCCCCTCCCAGCCTACAGATGCAGACTTGAAAGATGCCACCTGGATTTCTGCAGAAAGCTGCCCCTTTCTGCACCCGCACTGGCCTTGGACCTACTTCATCAGCCCTGTGGCCTCATTCAACACGCGGGGGTAGGCCCCTGGAAGCTAAAGTCTTAAGGGGAGTCCCAGGGTTCCACTCTCTCATGCCTACTACACTCCCAAAGGACTTCCGGAATGCTGGAGCAGAGGGAAAATTTTTGAAATCTTGCAGAGAAGGAAATAAACACAAAGGAATAAATATATGCCTTACCATAGACACCAAGCAAAGCCAAAAGTTGAACCCAGGGCTCTAGACTCCCATTCCAGTGCTCCTAGCACAAACTCACTAGAAAGTACAAAAGGGTGGGAAAGAAGAAACTGGCCTAGACTCGAGTTACATAGTCCTAGGCTGGCTGAGGGCAGAGCCGAGGATTTGTGCGGGCTTGGGTCTCGGCACCGAGAATGGCCCTGGGAGCTCCTGGCTTGCAGCAGCTGAGTGGGGAAGAGGAGGAAACTGAAGTGAAAAGGACATGTCCAGGAAGGAGCTAAGCCCCGGGCTTTTCAAAAAGTAGAGCAAGAACACCCCCACCCTCAGTTCTCCCACCTTTGTGCGAGCCCTTTTCCCACAGGATCAGCACCACATGTTTCCACCGGCTCCCTGACAGAAGCAGAAAAACAGGACCCCCTTTTAAAGCACCTCATTCCAGATTGGCGTGGCCAGGAGCCCAGCCGAGCCCCAGCGGAGAAGCGGGAGGACTGAAAATCTTGCCTCCGTTCTCCTCACCGACCGCCCACCGGGGAAGCGCCACTACCGTCCTAGAGTCTCTGCCCTCGCCCCTCTCCCACGCCCCGGTGGGCAGACTGCGGGTCTGCGCCGTCCCGCTTTCTGCGTCGCAGCTGCCGGCCGGAGTCAGCTTCCATAGAGGCCACACGGAACCGCCTGGCGCTCCTCGGGCTGTGGGACCCGTGGGGTTAAGTCTGAGTCCCCGCCCGGCAAGCAGCAGAGAGCGCAGAGTTGGGGCGGTACAGGCCGCCAGGCAGCCAGCGGGGCTAGGAGAGGGAGGAAAGGCGGGATCCTCCGGGAAGTCGATTCTCCGGCGTCCGCCTGCGGCCACTGCCAAATCTTCCCCACTTCTTTCTTCTACTCCCTCCCCTTTTCCCTCGAGGACCGCTGGGTCCAGAGTTTCTAAGATGGGGGGTGGGGCGCTGTCAGCAGAAAAAACCAAGTCTTTGGGCGGCACCCGAGCACGTCCAAACTCTCCAGTCCCACTGGCCTGCGCCAGGGTAGAATGTGCCCGGTGAACAGAGAGCCTGGGAGGGACGCGGCGACCTGGGGAGAAGAGGAACCCGGCAGGGCCTGGGTGAGGCTGCAGAGCCCTCTCCCAGCGAAAGATGCCCAAACTTTCTTCCCCTGGAGGGTCCTTCCACCCCTCTCCCTCCCCTTCCTCCCGGACACCCCCTTAAACGGTCTCCGCCTTCCCTGCTCTTCCCTCCCCACCTCGATCCACCCCTTTTCGTCTTCGCCCGCTCCCCCCCGCTCTCCTGTCCTCCTCCTCCCTCCCTCTTTGGGCATCCGCCCCGTCAATCTCCACCGCTGCCGGCCCCAACCCGGCCCCTCTCCGCCTCCCAGGCTCTCAGAGCGCCCCAGGCTCCAGTCGAGCCGCCCTCCGTTTTGCGCGGAGCGGGGCGATCTGTCAGCGGAGCCCGCGGGGGGGA